TAATTGTTAATTCCCCCCCCCCTCCTTTATGCTCCTGCTATGAGCGAAACCATCCAGTATTTTTCTTTTTATTTCTGGCTTATTTCACTAAGCATGATCCTCTTCAGCTCCATCCATGTTGCTGCAAAAGGCATGGGTTATCTTCTGATTGCTGAGTAATATTTGAAGGAAAGTTCTTAAACGAACTGGAGAAGGATAGAAACCAGTGTTCCCTGAAGGGTTAAGACTGCTCTAAAACAAAGGTTCCCTGACAGAACAGGAAGGACCTCCTAGGCTGATAAGTGTCAGAGAAAGTATCCTTCTTTCCAAATCTTCAAGTCTGAGGGGTTGTTCCCCTCCAACTCACATTTGCAGGGCCTTTGCGTGCTCCTGGACCACAGACATTAGCTCAAAAGACCAAAAAACGTGCAAAGGGAGGCTCCCAAGTGGCTGGCTGTCCACTCAGCACACAAGCACGCGCGCACGCGAACACACACACACGCACACGCACACGCACACGCACAACACCCCCCCTCCCGTCCTATGTCAAACACTGGTCCTCTTGCGCCCCCAGCTGGTTACTGCGGGACCCCACCGTGATACTAAGAACAACTGAAAAGGGCTTTGTGAAAGCAGTTGATAAGTATTTTGATCACCTGATCGCCAGAGTGGTGCCTCTCCAGGTGGGTGAGTTACCTTCTCAGTCTTGCTTCCATTTGCTTCGGAAAGTGGTTTGCTCTGCCAACTTCACAGACTAGGCTGCCCTCGGTCTCTATGACATTCTTACAATTTTGGATTCCAGACCTTCATCTGAAGAACAGTGTCCACCCCAGGGTTTCTAGAAAGACACTCAGCGTACAAGACAGGGATGATGAAGGGTTTCGGGTGGTGGTTGGCCTGGATGTACTGGAGAGTCACAAGGCTGGCTGAACTTTATGAGGCTTATTTCTACTTGTGAATTATCTATGTTGTTTTAAATACTCAATACGAACACATGGTGAGAAAGCTCAAAAGAGAACAAAAGGGCTTGTGGTGAAATAAAAACTCTTGTCTTCACCTTGTCCCAAACCATTCAGTTGTCTTTTCAGGAGGCAACAAATTTTACAGATTTTTGTGTGCTTTTCTAGAGATTATCTTTACATATCTATACACACCACACCACACACACACCTCTCATTGGAT